TATTTTACGCAACATCTATAAAAAATATATTTTCTATATTCTATCAAACTCATTTCGAGAATTACATTATTTTACGCAACATCTATAAAAAATATATTTTCTATATTCTATCAAACTCATTTCGAGAAAAAAAATATTTTACGCAACATCTATAAAAAATATATTTTCTATATTCTATCAAACTCATTTCGAGAATTACATTATTTTACGCAACATCTATAAAAAATATATTTTCTATATTCTATCAAACTCATTTCGAGAATTACATTATAGACATATCGAATGATTTAAATGAATATCGAAAATAGTTAAACAAACATCTACCGCATAAATGGAGAGGAAGGGAAAATAGCGAATTTTGACCTCGAAAACGATGTCCACCCAACCTAGCAAAGTGGCCACGACGTGCGCGTCAAAAAAAGCTTTCCGAATTGGGGTCATGGGCACGATTCTAACAACCGTAGCCAAAGTTATGGTCGAATTACCAAAACTATCCATAAAACAGAGATTTATAGAGCTTGATAACCCAAAGTGAAACCATAACACTTGCAGAGCAGTCCATTGCATTAAAAGCGAAGTCAATAATCAGCATAGCAGCTTCTGCTTTCCGAATCATTCATTAGTATAACCAGAATTTTAATTCAAAATATCACCCAAGTAATCTGATAATTAAAAAGTACATTTCTGGGCAAAAAATCGTGTGATGAATTCTGAACTGCAGTTCCAGTTTTCTGACCATCATCTGCATTGCAGCTCCAGTTTTCAGAACGAGTCATTTGTATAACAACAATTTTAACATAAAATTCAGCACAAGCAATTTGATAATAAAAGTAGGTGGCCCATGCAATGAATTATAGTAATACGTTTCCTCAAGTTGAACAAGCTACATTGTCTCTCAATTGACGTCCTCTTGTTTCAAATGGAAAAAGCAGAACACTTATCCCGGAAACAATTATAATGCACTCAAACAGAAAGATAGCTACAGTTTGATGACATCCATGAACAAGACCTACTGAGACGAGAGGACATATCATTCCACCAATTCTCCCCACAGAGCTCGCCACTCCAACACCAGTGCTCCTTAATGATGTTGGATATATCTGCCAATTTTTGGAAACGAAACAAAATAAAAAAATAGCAATTCACACTAGCTAGTTAACTGATTTAATAGAACCCTTTTTTTATCGTGTTTGTTACCTCAGGCGCGTATATATACACGATTGAAAAGGTAGCAGTAATGCAAATGCGAGCCCCAAAGAGAAGACCTGTTGTTAAGCTCTGAGGCTGATGAAACATCAATGGAAGCAGAAACATGGAACAGAGGAAGAACATTGTTGACATTGACATCTTACGACCAAGTTTGTCAACTGTTGCGGCTGATAGGAGGAGCCCAGGGAACTCTGAAATCAAATCAAATATAAATGATTGTCAGCCTTTTACCATGAAACAAAATATCCAATTAAACACCTATGACAAGTATGTTTGGGAGGTGTTTATAAACAACTTAAATTATGAATATATAGAAATAAGTAGTGGATAAGTGGGTAGTACTTTGGGATTCCTCAAAATATGTACATGAAAAGAGGGTTAAATAATTCATAAACAGTCTATAATCATGATCAAAACAACTAAGAGATTCCATACCTGCAAAACTCGTAATAAAAACATCTTTGTAACTAACAGACTTGTGATTCTTAGATTGCTCTTCTGTATGTTTGCACATAGTATCTCCAGTGTTTAACTCTGTGGTCAGCAGCACGAGCCCATAATAAGAGAATGCATTCCCAAAAAACACCATCCACAAAAGTAAAGTCGACCTAATTAGTTCTGGTGAAAGAAGCATAAAAAGTGAAGAGACGCCACCCTTATGAGTATCCATACATTCAGGATTTTCGCTATTATTTTCTCTTGGTGAAATCAACTCTTTATCTTCTGATGCAGTGCATTTCTCACCCAGCTCAATATAGAGGTCAGAAACAAGAATGCCTGAAGGAAGTTTTCTTCCATTTACTTGTGCTATTTTCTCTAAAATAGCAAGTGCGTCACCTTTTCTTCCTTTCGCACACAAATATCTTGGTGATTCAGGTGTGATAAAATAAAACAAAAGCAACAGCGACGAAGGAAGAGCCGACAGTGCAAGTAACCATCTCCAACCCAATCTTGGCATGACAAACTGCAAAAAACAAATCAAGATGGAAAGTTTGAAGTCTTAGAAGAACCAAGGAAACAAACTATATAAATTTGATCAACCATAATTAGAATAGAAGAGATAAAAACTGACAAAATATATTATATATCTTCATTAGAAAAATTGGGAGCATCTAAGATGGATTCTTTGGTCTCTCATTATCTACACTAGACAAGTGTCATTATTTTCCTATACCTACCACCACCAACAAAAATTTATGCTTTGCTTATAATTAGCCAATGGCATTAATCTATTGATGCCACTTCGCTAGTGTTATTACTGCATGTATTGAAAAATCTAAAATAGCTAGATCCTTAGAAACTATAGCAAACTATGTTAGTTTTGGACCTTTTGGTCTACCCTCCTTCTAACACGTTCTACCTAGATTGCACATCTCTTATAAACATAAGCCTGTTCCAAGCACCCAACTCATCTCATCATACAAAAAAAGTAAAAGAATCAACCACATCTCCGTATCTTTCCTAATCATATAATTAATATTTTCCACTAAAAAATTTCAAACAAATCCAATATATTAAGTAACACGATAGAAATTTTGTATCAAGACTCAATGATTATAGCTAATAAATGTATTTTGTGAAGAGTGAAATTAAGAGAAGAGTAAAGGCCTAACTGCCTTCACATTCTGCCAAAGACGACTCACTTACTAGAGCAACGTCAACCACGTGATATCTTGAGATGGGAAACCCTTAGTATAGCTAATGATCAATCAATGAATGAAGAGCAACATAAATCCCCTAACTTTTATATCCAGCAACCCAGGAAAACATCTCCCAAAATCGAGGGTATTACAACACCATAGAGAGAAGAAAAAGCTATTTCCGTTCCTCCTCTACCATGGAGGTGAGAAGATCCTTCGATACAAGGCATTTGAACCATTTATTCTCCTTGGCAGCCAACGTGTCTCTGGAGTGGTCAAGAGCATCAGCGTTAAAGGCGGTGGTCGTACCTCCCATATATACACCTACTGTTCATTGCGAAGGCCTCCATTTGCTCTAGAATTGGTAATATTAATAATTCAAAAAAAGTTCTTGAAGATTTGTTGAAGAGAAATGTTGAGAGGAAAATGACTTTATAGCTAAGCCTTTTTACAATTAGTACAATTAATCTTTAACACCCTCCTCAGGTTAATTAAATCCAGGTAATCCCTACACCATATACTGGCTTGGGTAATATTTATCCTAAATATGATCTAATCCGGTGTACCAATGCACCCTTGCATTTCAAAGGACACCTCTAAAATTCTAACTTCCTTTTAGTCTCATCAACTATATCATCAATGAATAACATACACCAACCCGCCGTCAACCAGACTTAGAAAAAGGAACATGTTTACCGCTTTTCTAGTTTAGAACTAAATCAACATTGTTTGAAGTTTTTATCTACAAATTTCTAATACTAAATATATAATTAATACAAAAGTGCAAAATTTTTCTAGTCTTTTCTTTTTGCAAAACATGTAGATTGTGGGTTTGGGACACTACCCAATTTCAAAGTTGTATATCATAATGTCATTGGGGATGCACAAACATTGTGCGAACCAAATTAGCAAGTGCTTGATATAAAAAATGCGTTATTACTTCTTCTGACTAAAAATCAATGAATAGAGACACATCTCAGTAAATCATCTCCTAGTACAGGCAAAAAGAGAATTTTTTCCACCAGTATTTGAAAGTTAACATTTAAACAACAAATATAATTAACTTGATAAGCTACGTTTACAAACAACAATAATAGAAGTGGATTTTTCTCTGGCCATACCCAAGCAAGAGAAGCCTCAAGTATGGTGCCCAAAGTCCAAAAAGCTGAAAACACTACCATCCAAGTACCTCTACTTGGAGAAGGAATGAATTCAAGAAACCAGGAAGAAAGCACAGGCCCACCTCCTAAGCCAACACCAACCAAACCTCGGAGAATAATCAGCGAAGTAAAATTTGGGGCAAAAGCACTTAAAAAACCAGTTGCAGCAGTAACCATTGCTGTAATGAGAAATCCTTTCCTGATTGACAAGAGTACAGAAGATGAAAATAAAAAGCACACAATACAAATTTAATACATATACCTTCTAAATGATCAATGTCTACAGAAAATGTAAGATGTATGGAAAGAAAAGAAGTGGTTAAATCATCTCATTGTGCAATCAAATTCATTTATATGTTGCAATCAAAAATAGGATCTAGGACATGTTGAGATGTCTAGCTGCATATCTTTACATAAGCAGACTTCTTGGCCAGGAAATTGTTCCACAAGTAAACGATTAGCAGGATTGCCAAAAAAAACAAAAACAAAAACAAAAACAAAAACAAAAAAAAAAAAACAAAAAACAAAAAACAAAAAAACCAAGAATTAGAACTTCAGTGTAATCATGTTTCGGGATTCGTTAACACCTTTTTTCCCCCTTTTTCTCTATTTAAGGGATAAGTAAGAGGTGTTTAAAATCTAATACGATATAAGTGATACAGGGATTCTGAATTGAGTTGAGTTGAACATGAACAGTAATTAATAGATTCATGTACAGAAATTCTATGATTACTCTATATGTTGGTACATATCTCCCAAGAACTCAACAAAGGGATAAAAGTAGTGTTAGAATATTGATGAAAAATATGTTCATTCATCCACATATGATATTTCTACCATAAGTGTAGGTGTATATTCAGGCATAGATATAAGCTTGATTATAGAGATTCTGGCGAATATGTGTACTAACTTCTAGCAGAACATCGAACATAATCAACTCGTCAAGAAAATTGTTTACTACTTTTCTTAGTATTTTACTTTGTCTATACTATCAGAGTATCACAAAAGGTAAAGATGTACATCTGGATCTAGAATTTCTAGATAAACTTCCATGACTGTCAATCTTACACCATGCCCTAATGTCTTCAATAGTATCACCTTTCAAAGTCCGTGTTCTCTCAATGAAGAAGCTGTTTTAGAACACAAATATTGCTTAATACCGCTTCTTATGGATATTCATTCAACAATAAATTTCACAGGTACAAATTTTTGTCTCACTATAACCCTTAATTTCATTAATTGCAGAAGTTGGTACTGCTGACTATTTTTATTGGGTGATATTATAAAAAATGTTATTTACCTAATATCACACTTTTGCTTCTATTATATCTCTTAGACCTCATTTTGAACTATGTTTCATCCCAAAATAGTTCACTCAAGTAATCAATAACCTAAATCCATTTGTGCACCAACCTCCTCAAGCTGATTTTGATGCTGATCATCATCATTTAGGTACTTGCAAGCTACTCCTAGACTGCAAATTACATGGAAAGAAAGAGGGTCCCATAATTTCTTGATTATCTACCAAAATTGGGTATCGTGTCATACTGTCACAGATGGCTTGTTGAGAGACTTACTAGAGCTTAAGTAGGCAATAACGTAATTGTTTAAAAACATGTGTGAAGTCCTTTATCATAATTCACAATATTGCAAGAGGAAATGCATTGGCTGCATTTACACATTCCATACAAATAAAATCAAGTGCAATTACAATCGGATTCAGTTCAAGAAAACTGTTTATTATTTTTCTCCATACATTATTGTCTTCTTCTGTCAACAATGTCCATTCATTTTTCAAATATAGTGTTGAAACATATGCTCCTTGTTTGACAATTGATCAAACTTCAATTTTAACTACACATTTCATAGACCTACAACTTTATAAACTTTTCAACCTCACATTCCATCAACTTTTATCAAAATCTACTAAAACTTTTATCAAAAACATTGTCATACAGGCATTTACTCCTGAAGTGAAGTACTGGTTTCTCCTTCTGTTCAAATACTCCCTTGTTCATCTCCTTGCACACCACCTAAAAGAAGCACAAGGAATCCATCTAGAAATACTAAGATGCATTGCTCATCCTCCACTCCAACTCTATGAAAAACTTTGATGAAGGACCTATAAATTCCAGACTGATAAGAGCAAGTCCCATAGCACTCTGTGAGAAGTATTTCTACACATAAATAGGACTACGATTGATGAATTATTAAGACATTTACTTATCCTATCCACAAATATTGAAATTTCTTTCTGGTAGTGCTCTCTTCAGATACTATTACTAATTCTCCTATTTTGCTTTTCTCTCTTTCTCCGTCCTTGACTTTACTGTTATTGTCTTACCTCGTGTATGTCACATTTAATAACAAAACCTTTCAAATCAGAAAGAGAAAATGACGAATTAAATAAGAGTAAAATATAGTGAATAGTTAATCTCGAAGTATCCCTCATAAAGCAGGCTATTTCTTTCTGGTAGTGCTCTCTCTCAGATACTATTACTAATTCTCCTATTTTGCTTTTATCTCTTTCTCTCTCTTTGACTTTACCATTCTTGTCTTACCTTGTGTACATTACATTTAATAACAAAACCTTTCAAATTAGAAAGAGAAAATGACGAATTAAATAAGAATAAAAGATAGTAAACAGTTAATCTCGAGGTATCCCTCATAAAGCAGGCTCCAAAGACTTGTGACATATGGCCAAAAACAAGAAAATGTCAAATTAAATGTGTAAAAGATCGTAAACAGTTAACAAATGAATTTGCCTAAGTACACCTAAAGTGAAAAGGAGGTGAAAGGCTAGTTTAATTGTATCACGAGAAAAAAAACTATTTGCTTCAATGAATATAATTTAAGTTCATCATTACATTCTAAAGTTTTGAACATGGAGTTAACGAGTCAAATTTAATGTCAAGCACCTTTTTGCTTCTGTGGTGTTTTATTCTCATACATTTGGTGGTGTATATACAGATAACAAAAATCAACACATAAAAAGGAAAAGGACAGACTAAAGGGCAAAATCTGATTTCTAATTCTTTGTGCAGGAGAATTAATAAAAGCTAGGATAAATTTTGTTTCCTTCAATTTTCTGTTTTTATATTTCTTTTTGACCCCAAAGTGGGTAAAAATTGTCATTACCAGAACAAGAATAAGAAGTGTAACTATCTACAAGTATCTATCAAGTGAAAATGCATGATGGATAGATTCTCATTTAAAAAAAAAAAAAAATAGAGTAATTAACTTAATGGTTTGCATTTTTAGGGCAGATATGAATTTTACGGATAAAACTTTATCTCATTGAAGTCAATAATATTCCTTCTTGCATATGCGAACACTGGTGCTGATAAGAATCCATGTTGAATTTATCAAACTTCAAATGCAAATAAAAACCACAAATAGTAGATACATATTCTTTTGAATTATTTTATTTGTCTATCTAGACGCTTATCCCTCAAGGGAACTCAAGGCTTATGCTGCAAGTCACATAGGCTAAACGCCTTTTAAACATTGCATATTAACAAAGCTCCTTATGGATACTAGGCAGATAGTAATGAAGTTACCTCCTTCCGTAGTTATCTGAAACAATGCCCCACGAATAGGCACCAATCAACATGCCAGCAAAAACAATGCTAGTTATCAAGCCCTCTTCATGAGAAGAGAGATCCCATGTAGACTGAACAGCTGGTCCAACAAAAGAGAGCAGCATCATTTCCATAGCTTCCGACGCCGAACCCATCCCAGCATAGAGTAGAACAAAGATTTGAAAATTTCCAAAACCTAAACTGCTAAGTGCTTCATCTACGGTATAGGTTTCGCGATCATCTGAATCACCCATCTATAACCAAACCAATGCTAAAACACACATCAGTAATGAAAAATTCAAACAAATACTCTCAGAAATTGTGAATTTCAAACTGATAATTTGAAGATGTACCAAAGTCAACAAGATAATTAACTGATTTTTCTCAAAAAATAAAAGTTAAAATCAATTGAGTGACTTCATACAATAAAATCTCTTTATTAGCACTATATCATGATCATCCAGTGTAAAGCTAAATGATAAGTAAATACGCAATATAACCAATGCCTCATTTGTTTCAATCTAAGTACAAGTCAACGCAAATGAACCATCCAATTTACATAAAGAAAAAAATTATTAACTTGCGAAAGGAGAAATTATATGAGTACGATGGATCAAAAAGCTATATACATACTTGTTCTCTTTCTTTCTTTTCTTTTTTTTTTCAGATTTTTTCTCCGTTACTGTATTCTTGTTTCCTGTTTTTGGTATCCTTTTTTTTTTTTTCCGTTTTAATTTTTGCTTTTAATAGTATTAACATCATGCCGATTCGAACGAGTCAAAACTGGGCTCAAAACTACAATTATGCCACTACCACTGCCACCGCCACATCCAAACAACGGTCTCTATAAGCCTTTAGCCTCCGTTTGACAAGCAATTTATAAATAATTTATAAAATTTAATCAAAATCAATTATAAATTTTAACAACGTATTCTTAATTACTTTTCATTATTATTCACATTTTTAGTAGGAATCATTACTATTCTTCTTAATATTCATATTTACAAACCATTTATAAATTTGTCAAAATGAGACTTAGCCCGTATTTGAGCCCCTTTTTAGATAAAAAAAAAATACATTTTGAAATATTAAATTTATGGAGAATGTGTGGTTAAAAATTGAAGAAAAGTTTAAATTTACGTGTACTCTTATTTTATTATAGAATATATAGTTGAAATTGAATTTTGAGAAAAAAAAGGGATTTTTTTGAAAACTGGGCCTCAAACAAATCCTAATTCATTTTTAAATCAATATGGGCACATTTAATCTAAATGGGAAAGAAACGAGATGTTCCAACTTTGAACATAATAGAAGACTCTGCAAATTGACCACATAAACTTTCTCTCGGCATCTACCTGGTAAGAGTGTAAAATATAATATTTTTCCATTTTGATTATTGCATTCGTGTGATTATTTGATACCAAAATACACTCATTATACTTATGTTTTGATTCATATTACATTTTAGTAGAAAATGTGAAATTTAGAAGAAAAGAACGAAAAAATGACCAAAATAGAAGAAAGTGAAAGTTTAGGGACCAAATTGCAAATAATCTAAAGATAAGACGGGCGAGGGACTGATTATTCGAGAAAGCTAGGAGTCCATTGGGTGAAATTAGAAATCAAAAGAAGTTAAATATGACCATAACATATTCACAAATCAAACTCCAACCTCATAAAGATTTTCCAAATTTTCAGCCAGGGATTGAAGTCGACTTTTGACCCAATAAACGTCTGGATTTGGAAAGAGCTACTTCTAGGAAAATTGTAGCCCTTTGTGTTAGTTTTCCAACGCACTTTGAATTTTCTTAAGCGGACATCGGGAGACGGTGAAAATACTGAAAGTAGTCGCACATAATATTTTAGCCAAAAATTTAGTTTCCTTATTCGGTTCAACCTCTTTTGGAAACAAATTAGCACACGGTTTTAAGCCTTAGACTGGAGAGAGAACGCCTCTCTTCACCTTCGTAATAATTTTCTCTCATCTTGGATTAAAAAATTCGATGGAAAACTAAATTCCTTGGTGAAGCTACGAAGGAACTCATTGAATTTGGCAACTTCACATCATTTATTCATGAAAATTGGTATTTTTATTGTCAAATACTTCTAAATCTAGACTTTCTTTTATGAATTTACTTTGATTTAACTTTTACTAGATTCTTCATAGATTCAATCATGTTTTTTCTATTGTGGAATTGAACTAATTGTTGAATTTCAATTTCAATCAACTTTATTGGTGGATTATTTACTGCCTTATGCATTGTATATATGATCGATTCTTAATCTTAGTCCAATAAACATGTGTATGAATGATTTACAAAAGTCTAGATCCTAAGATTACAATTGAAATTTGATTGATCTTTATTATTAAATCTTCCGATTAGAGAGTTGTAATGAAAACCTCTAATTGAGCAAAAGCCATGAATTATTGGTATTGATGATCCAATCCAATTGAAGGAATTCGGATGCTTCACTAATCTCGCATATTGATAATTAAATCTTATTCCAACTGATAATTTATTTTCACATAATTCACGAAATCCTAGTTCTATAAAATCCTTTAAAAAATTTGTCCATCTCACTGTGGAATTGACACCTCAAAGTTGTGTTACAACTATCGCGTTATTCTTTGAGCGTAATCACTACCCAAAATGATAAAGGAATGTTGGATTGAGCTAAAAGAAAAGGCTAAATTTCCATTATATGACGATGTTTACACTCAGCATTCCCATTTTGCTAGGATGTACAAGTCAAATGGTGGTGAATATTAGAGTTGAGGAAAGAGATAAATTTGAGAAAAGCATATTAATGGTCATTATCAGTTTGGAATTGTTTAATTTTGCATGAAAGTAAATTTTCAGCTAATAATTTGAATTTGACGAAGCAAGGAAAAATATCTAATTTATGGAAAATAAGATACAAGCATGAAAATATAAAGTAGGCGTCAGTAAAAATTGCATCATAAAGATAACCACTTTGAGATTTAGTAGGGGATACCCATACATCAGTGAATAATTTATAGAGGAGCAAAAAAACTCTATCCGAATCATTGAAAGGAAATTTTTTTTTTCTCTTTTCCTTTTCCCAACTGACAAGCTAGACACAAAATACTAGTCATGCATTCTACACATCTAAGGAAGTTTTAACACTAAAAAGAGCTACCTGTGACGACATTGATTTATTGTGTTTTTCTTGAGAAGCATAGGATAGAGGACGCCTTTACTAGGTCCCTCCAGAAGTTTTTTTCCTTATTTTGTTGTCCTTGATAGTATAATAGGAATCCGTTAGAATGAAAAATCAATCATTATCTATGCAAAAATGATTGACGGATTGTAGATTTGTCATGGCATCAGGACAATGTAAAATTTTGTTGAAGTAATATATTGATTGTGGAGTGTTTAGAGGGAAAACCTGTGGTTTGGATCGTGAGGCCATAACCATTACTTCAGCCACTGATTTAGTGCCTCCATTGGACCTTTGGGTGTGCATGCTATCATTTACTAAGGCCATACACAACTTATAAACTTGCTTTTAGATGCAAGCAATGCACTTTCTTGGGATATTCTTCTAATTATAAGGGATATTGTTGTCTTAATCTCCAAAAAGGTCTACTTGTCACGACGTGTGTTTGATGAACACTTGTTCCATGCACAGAGAGAGTTGGACACCTCTCTTTCCACTAGATTTTCCCTACGTTTCACCAAATCAACCTTCCAATCTCCTGGTATTTCTCGAATATACTCCTTCCAGCTTTTCTTTGTAATATTGTATAGTTATCTATTGTTTTTTCCTTATTTATCACAACGTATAAAACTCTGTATATAAATATTCATCCATCTTTTGGTCTTGGTATCTAAAGAATCAAGCCTTCCGCAAAATCTTTCTCCAATACCACGATAGATAAATTTCTTTATATAAAACCTTAATTGGTTCAATTGTGCAAATGCATATTATTTAAATATAATCATTGAGCTCTACAACTTTTTAAATAAAAAAATTGCATGTAATTTCTTTTTCTTCCTCCGTGACATTTCCAACTCATATTAAGTTAAATTCTATTGTCATATTTCTGTTGTTTCCCAATAAAATCTTACAATCTTACTATAATTTTGAAGGGTTAAAGTATTAGAAGTTGTACCTCAAAATTTTATTGATAGAACAAAATCTAAATTCCAAGCTATGAAGGATCCTTGGTTAGTGTTGCGGCAGTGTTAGATGTAGGAGAAATTGTTACCATAAAATAGCCGGATCTTTCATCTTGGATCATCAAGAAATTCAAGAACAAAGTGGAAACATACCTGAATCAGGCATAGTTAATGCAATAGTTGAATTTTGCGGTTTAGTTTTCCAAATCAACACGCAACCCTTAATTTTCTCTTGTAATGGGAGGCACAACAAAATGAGCAAATCGTGTAATCTGTGGACCATAATCGTATTTATATATGACACCTTTTGATCTAATTTGACCCATCACAGAATTAGGAACCTGGGCTTGATCTCTACATGTAAAAGACACACACTTTAATTGGATGCATTAAAGTAAAAAAATCGAAGCCTTATCGAATCACTTTCAATGGGTTTAACCAAATTTGATAGCCTTTGATTTAATACACAATAATTCACACATATAAGCCACATGATTGTTTAAAATTCCTTACAATCTCCAATTTGAGTTATATGTGTCACCTTGTAATTGTGCATTAAACATAAACTTATGAGTACTCAAAATTTTGCTACCATTATCGAATGCATCATCAAACAGTCCGGTCATTCAATTATATCAACATAGGATCAAAGTTACTTTTGCTACTTTCATCTTAACTAAACCCATCAACAGTCATGTATATCGATATAATTGAATGACATTGATCAAGCATGGATGTGTAGTATGAAAATTACATGTAATATGATTTTAACATGCATATTTTCTACTGGTCCACCTTATAACCTTAGTGAGATCATTTTTTAAACAAGTTCAAAGATAATAAACCAAAAAACTTAATTGAAAATTACTTTAACCATAAACCATATCCAAAATAACAGTACATGTGTTTAATATGAAAAGCAAAAATTAACTCCCCACTGAAACTAAACATCCTTAAGAGATATTACACCCATATGAACATTTTGCTCATGAAAGACCTTAGTTATCAATCTCTTAGTAAGTGAATCCGCAATCATGAATTTTGTCCCTATGTGCTCTATTGACACATGAACTCTTTCTTTAACAGCTAGAAACTTGATTTCTATATGTTTCGACTTCGTCGAGCTCATGTTGTTATTAGAATACAGTACTTCTGATTTATTGTCACAAAATAACTTGAGCCGTCTTTCTATACTGTCCAAAATGTGCAGTCCAGTAACAAAATTGCGCAACCATATTTCATGGTTTGATGCCTCATAACATGCTATAAGCTCTCTACTGCCATGGTGGAAATAGCTATGAGTGTCTGTTTAGTACTTTTTTAGGAAATAGTACATCAAGCAAGCAGGTAAATATTGCCTGAAGTATATTTCCTACTATCTTGGCATCCTGCAAAATTGGAATCAGAGTAACCGATGATCTTCAATTGATCCAATCTCCTATATGTGAACATGTAGTCTTTTGTTCTCTGTAAATACTGCATGACCCGTTTGGCTGCTTTCCATTGATCCATTCTTGATTTACTTAATTATCTTCCTAGTATCCCAAAAATGTATGCTATATCCGGACGCGTACAAAGCTGAGCATACATCAGACTCCCTGTAGCTAAAAAATAAGAATTTTTTAGCATTTATTTAATTTCCAAGTCATTTTTAGGGTACTGACTTTAACTGAACTTGTCTCCTTTAACTACATGGGTGTCACTTGTTTTACAATCTTGCGTATCATATCTTTTAAGTACCTTTTCGAGATAACTCTTTTGTGACAACTTAAGAATATCCTGAGAACGGTCTCGGTTCCTAATACAAAGAGGCGTTACCAAGATCTTTCATCTCAAAATTCTTTGCTGGAAATCTCTTGGTTTTGTGCAATAAGTCTATATTGTTGCTGGCAAGCAATATGCAATTGATATATAAAACCAGAAAAATATACTTACTCCCATTGAACTCGTGGTATATACAATCATCGACCAAATTCATCTCAAAATCAAAGTAAGATGATCACTTGATGAAACTTATAATACCATTGACGAGACGCTGTTTGAGTCCATAGATGAATTTCTTTAGTTCATAAAACATTTGCTTTGCATTACTCAATACGAAGTTTTTTTTATTGTACCATATAAATTGTTTCATCAATGTCATCATTGAGAAATGTTGTCTTAACATCCGTCTATTGTAATTCAATATCGAAATGTGCTATCAATGCCATTATACTCCTAAAAAGTCTTTCGAAGAAACCAGAGAGAAAAGTCTCTTTATAATCAATGCATTCTTTCTGTATAAAGCCCTTTGCACAAAATGAGCCTTATACCTCTACATCACCCTTCGAATCCCTCTTGGTCTTAAATATCCATTTGCAACCAATGAGTTTCGCACATTCAGGGAATGAAATAAGATCCTATACATCATTGTCCTTCATGGATTTTATCTCTTCATTTATAGCATTGAGGCACTTTTGAAGATTAGAACTTTTCATGGCTTGATGGAAGTTGATCGAATCATCTTCCACTATTCCAATGTCAACTTCACATTTTTGGAGAAATACGATGTAATCATCCGATACTGTACTTCTCCTCTTTCTAGTGGATCTTCTTAATGATATTGATTATTAAGGCTGTAGAGTTTGTTCTTTTGGAATAATTTGTTGACTTTGAGAGGGAGATACAACAAAATTATCTTGATCCTGAGTTGCTTTTTCAACAATGTCAGGGATAGAATCCTGATTATTGTCAACGACAATTAGAGGAATTTTCACTAGGTATGTGAACATAGATATTGCTTAGTGCTTTCTAGGATTCATAATGTACTTTAGAAGAACCAAATTTGGTTAAATTTATAGCATAAAAATAAGAAGAATAGTTTTAGTACCGGTCAGGTTCATCAAGTAAATGTTTGTTCGTCGATCTGATGTTTTTATGTGCATCCTCAGATAGGGTTTTTGTACTCCATGTGCTGAATGTAAGAGGATGAATAAGATTTTGTTTTAGGTAAAAGAATATTGTAATGTCAAATGTTCTTCTATTTAAGTCCCGGAAGATTACTTATCGTAATGACATGCAGTTATGCACTGTACTAAAAGTAAATATTTTAAACCCTCTTTATTACTTAGTACGACACTAATAATTTATTGCAATAAAATATAATACTGATGAAGAAGGTGCATAATGCCCTATTGAAGGATGTATCAGGGGTGTTTCTATATGCTTTTAGCTTAACTTTACTTGATAATATATGCATTAACCTAAACTGTATGTCTTACTCATTTTCCTATTTTTCTTTTAGTCTTGTTTGCTATTGTCAAATTATACTGGAAGAGATCATGATGCGATGTATCACTAGATTTACCTAATGTTTTGGTCTCTTAGTTTATCAATTAATCTTGTTTCTGTGATCAACTTGTTGATAACAATTGCACTGTGTCCTTTTCTTTTTCTAGTTGTCATGTGTAGGATCAGTTGTCCAGGAGGAAGATCGTGAGGGAGCCCAAAGAGGGATATCTCTTTCTTATTTCACCGAAGCCTATTTTATTTTTTCTTATTGCTTGTAATTTTGTTACTTTTGATATTTTTTATTGGAATAAGAAATTGGGTTATCCCAATTCAAATGTGTTATAACACTTATTAAACTCTGGTTTACTTTATAATAAGAATTCTGCTTCAGTTTCTTCTATTTCTCGTGATTATGCTTCATATAAACTTGCTAAAAGTAAGGATTCACTACAACAAAAACTACATTTCGCAACGGTTAGAAAACGTTGCCATAAACCTTTTACAGCATTCGGGCGTATGTTGCGGGTTTTGATGTTGCCGTAGAGTAGAAGGTTTTCACAACGTTCGATACATGCTGTCTTAAAGTTTTTCGCAACATTCAATGCGTGTTGTCTTAACGTTTTTCACAACATTCAATGCATGTTGTATTAATGTTTTCCGTAACGTTCGACGAATGTTGTGTTAAAGTTTTTCGTAACATTCATTGAACATTGTCTTATGTTTTCCACAATGGTCACTGATTGTTGCGTTAAGGTTTTTTGCAACGTTCGACACATGTTGTCTTAAGGTTTTTCGCAATGTTCAATACATATTGTTATAAGGTTTTTCGCAACATTCATTGAATGTTGTCTTCTTCTTTTTCTTAACGTTCTTTGAATATTGTGTTAAATTTTTTGCAATGTTCTCCGACCGTTGTCTTTCTCTTTTTCACAATGTTCTTTCAACGTTGTCTTTACTATTGAGTGAATGCAACACTTTTAGCTTGTTGCCGTTTCTATTTTTTTTTTAACGTTGCCTATTTTGTAGTCCTTCCTTGTTTATTGTCCTTTTTTTTCCTTTTTCCGTATAAAACATTTTCCCTTGTTGTTGTCCTTTTTTTCTATTTTGATATAAAACATTGATCATCAAAATTAAAAACAAACATTATCTACTGATGCACATGTATTTGAAGACTATGAAATAAAAATTATAACTTCATTATGAAACATTTAATCCGTACACAACAAACATAGAACAAGTATTACTATTGCTTCTTTAAAACACCTCAATAAACACTCTAATCCATCGCTCAAACCCTTATCTTTTACTACATCCACAAGAATAATCTCAACACTCAAACCCTCAGGCTCCAAAGCTTGAAGCTCCTCCAGAGTAGCTATATCTTCATACAGTTGATTTTGTGTTTTTATCTTATCGATGACGATAATAGTAAGAACGGTACAAGTTATTGCTGAATCAACAACTTGTATTTAATGGACATTATTTTTTTTATGTTCAATTCTCCATTTTGTTATCTTAATCATGCATGGACAACAAATTTAAACAAGTGCCCTATGCAAAATTCGATAATATCTTCATAAGTAAATTGCATATGTTAATTAGAAAATCACTTTCACCATAATGATACAAAACCCAAAATGATAATCCACAATTACAGTTTACAAAGTAACATAATTTCTCTCATCTAACAGTATTTTTCTGTTATAATACACAGGTAAGCATAGTACATGTTTATAGCTGGGTATATTAGTATAAGCTCTGAAAAATTTATTTCGGCTATGATAAGTAAAGAAAAACATCTAATCACACATTTTTTCATGAATGCGTAAAACAAAAAGAAAAATACGAATATGAAAATATAGAAATGAAGACATAAATACATGCAGAAGTATAAAAATTCATGAATTATCTTCGTCAAATGAGTCTAATGCTACTCTTTAGCCAAGTAACAATACTTTCCATGGCTTCATTAAGAACTCAAAATTCATCAGTAGGTCTATATATGGTCAAATTACCAATATGCACTTCCTCAACCCAAATCTTCCAACTATCTCGTCCAAGTGGCACATGGTGTACCTTTGCGAATGGAACGATTGATGCAATTTTCCCTTCTGCTACAATTTCTTCCTCATCATATCGGTACCAATGCAATAGTTGACACTTTGAATTTTCCAAATGTGCACTACCTCCCCGGATACCACTTCCTTGTTGGGACTACAAATTTGCAGTAAAATGAACATATTTCCTTTAAAATTAGTATACTATAGACTGAATTTATATTGAACAAACAAATAAATAATATAAGATACATAACCCGAGGAGTAAAAGCACATGAACTCATGTCTTCTATATTCTTATTTTGACTCTGTAAAATAATACAAAAAGTAAAAAGTTATTCTACGTACTAACTTACTTAAAGCAATGTTATCATATTATATATAATGATAAAATACATAACTCGAGATAACTTTAGAAGCGCTTAAACTTTTTCTTCTAGTGCTCCCACCCTTTTTGACTGCGTTTGTAGTTGGCTTTCAAGTTCTCTCACTCGAGATTTGCTTTGAATTCGTCAATCAACTTTTGATGGTGTAACTCCAGATCCAAATTCCTTTACTCTTTCACGATGTTTATGACCTAGAACACGAGCAACAAAATCATCGCGAATAGAATCTTCTGGTGGTTTATTGAAAATTTATTGGGCACAATTTTCTATTTTTTCTGCACTTCTGGAACTTAAATTTTATACTAGCCTGTGATAAATATAACAAGTTTAACTATTATTGACAAAATGTTGATATTATACACATACTAAAGTTTTGGCAACAGCTTCATTTATAGGTTTTCCATCCTTTCTAAGATGTTCATGAGTCCATACTCTAGTTCGTTACCCTTTTATGTCTGGATACCCCTTTTTTTTGGTAATATAAATCAAGTAATTTTATATACGCTAGCATTGGACATATGCTAGAAACTTGATATAAAGTAAAAGGAATGAAGTTAAATAAGAATATCGTTACAGACGGGTATATATAAGTAAAGATAGTTTGTATGTGTACCAAATCATGAGCCATATGTCGATAACCCTTTCGACCTATAGCATGTAAAATCTTTTGATTGTTCTCATTTTGCTGAACTTGGGAATTTTCTCCTATTAAGAAAACAAAAAAATTGAAAAACAATAATCAAATAATTTTTAACTTAATATGAAAGTACAACTTACTTGAAAGTCAGTAGAAAGAGTATATTCTACAAATTTTTTCCATGCTTCTTCAGAGTTTACATTCTTCGATCTAAGAAGGAAAATAGCGCGTGTTCTATTCACAGATAATGCTGATTCAATTCTGATTTCTTTTCTCAATCTTGACTTGTATGTCCTCTAATACTTTCCTATACATTGAAGTGTCATTTTTTTATGAAAATCACTAACATTAAACATTTGCTATATTTTGTGCACAAATATAAGAAATGATGTCATTAGAAAAAAATACATGATAAAAGAAATTAAATTTATCTTATTTGTAAATGTACCTTTATGAAAGTCCAAAGTTCCATTTTTTTTCATGTCAATTACCGACTGCCAATCCTTAATTACAATAGGCAAATAAATAAGATTTGAAGCTCAAATCCCTTTGAATGTATCCCAAGTTCCATCCTGCAAGCATGATCAAACAAGATCAAACTAATTAGTGTCTTGAAGTTAATAAAAAGGTGAAAATATATGCTAAGCCTAAATACAATTTACACATACATAAATTAGTGATAACGTTTATCCCTATTCCTTTCGCTGACTGCCTGAAAAGAGGCAAACATTTGTGCAAGGAAGTCATATGGTGCTCCCCCTAAAAGGCTACTGGCTATTCCAACTGGAGGCCATAAATTTAAACAGCAGTGCATAAGCAAAGTAAGACGACGAAACAAGAAGTTATCAATTCAATGATAATGTATAAATATCACAAGCAAGTACAGGTTGGAATGCTCTAGGGTGCCCCTAAAAAAATGCAATAACATGTATAAGAAAAGAGTATCAGCGAATGATCCAAAATTATTCCAGATACCCCAATAGTCATTATAAGACTTATGAATGGGATTAATATGATACTTGAAGCCAAAAAAATAAAAATGCCTCATGAAGTGAATATCTTAGTCCGCAATAAAGGGTACAAGAAATCAAAAAGAACATTTCAAAATAGATTTAGGATCAAATTTTCATTTGAAATGATATATGAGCACATATATAGTTAATCTATTTTGATTTCAAAAGTATCTTAACGTTATAAGCTTATATTGCTCGAGAAGAAAGATTATGTGAATTAGTAATTGCAATCCATGAAACATACATAAAGATATATGATAAAAGATATTCAACATATTAATGGAGAACAAAGTAACATACCATGATATATTTTAATATCCAACTCCCATCTTTGTAGCTTTATCGGGATGGTAATTCAACACATTATCTACCGTATATGATTGATCATATCTAGATATAGGATCATCATCATTGTACCTTCAAAAAAAAAAATTGTTGGTTAGATTTTAGAGTTGTATTTATTAGTTCAAAAATGCTATTTGTACATCACCTTTTTTTTTACATCAATTTTCACACTATTATTTTAATCGTGGACCCCACCCACTTGCACGTGTGTGTGCTATGAAAAAAGGTGTGAAAAAAGTGTACGTGTAGAATGGTTGTTATTAGTTTGCCCTAATAAGAAATTCAAATCCTGAAATATTAACAAATAATTTAATCAAAGGTGTTCCAGTATAGTAATTTGTCCCAAGTTCATTAAAATCCAACCAACATTGAAATATACCTGAATTGATAGAAGTATTTCCAAGAGACCTATTCTCCATAATATTCTCAATGAAGCTTCTGCATAACCATATGCCATTATGTAATTTATTTCCATGAGAAGCCTCCCTAATACATGGAAGTAGCACAAATAGTTTGGTCACCACTAAAATGGAAGATATAATAAAGAAATCAATATCAGTGTGAGACCATGCTCACTTAAAATAAACGGATTTACATAACAAAAGTCAATAGATAAAACATATCCAAGTGCTTCACAATAAGCACAAGAATCATCCAACCCGAAGTATAAGCAGAAGTTAGCGAAAGTACAAAGAGATCTCACCACAATCCTTTGTGAAATAGATGTTGGCAGGTTTAATGGTTCTCAACTGCAACAGAAAAATAGATGTAATAACATTCTAGAAAAAGGTTCGACGAAAATAAAAGTTCCATTTTCAGATACATGCACACTTCAGCTTTCCTAAAATAATCAACTCTGCCCAGGTATTCGTACACTAATTTCGCATATGGGTTAAACATCAATTTGTAATTGAAAAAATTATTAATCAATTAAACATATAAAATGACCCAAAGAATCGATTTTCAAACCCCACAATGAAAAAGTTAATAAGAATAACAGAAATAAAGAAGAAGAAATGACAACATCATTGATGATAATAACAATAGTAGTAATAATAAAAGTAGTACAGTGCATTAGTGCTAATAATAAGAAGAAATGAGAACAATAGGTGAAAGAAAGCACTAGTGTTAGATAATATTAAAAAATTTAGCTAGGCTTATCCACTACCCATTTATTGTAAAGTCTCGCTCCCTGCAATATCTCCAGCAAATGTTGTCCTTCTCATCACATTCAATGGGCTTTTCAGGATCAAAACCCAAGTCCCTTCTGAATTTAGAATATTTCCATTGCTTATCTATGTCGTTAATCGTGATTTTAATTATTGCATTTGCAAAACAATGTTACTCATTATGGGATGTTGGACTCACTCACTCTAGACATGTTGCATATTTTTTGTGCATTTCAAGGAATCAAAAAATAATGAAAATATTGGATTATGACTATCAGATCAGGAAAATAGTATAGGAGCAATTTGAAACATACAAGTTCCAAAAGAATATTTCAAAGGAACATACTGTATCAAGTTCCAGGGATACAGGTTCAAATGAGCATGCCATTCATTTAAAAAATAATCAAGTTTTTCTTCCTCGTCAACATTCTTCAACACAATCAAACTAACGTAAAGCATCATGCCGTCTTAATTTATCATAACAACTGCTAGCAAGTAAAGCTAAATTTATTTAAATGACAAACATAACATCAATCTTCCTCCTTCAATATATTAAAAAGGCAATGTGCTTGTGTGAATTTACAAATACCCCAAAGCATGCAAGGTGATAGATAATAGATGATATCAAAAATTTTGATAATTTACATAATTTCCCATTCGACCCAATTTGACATATATTCATTCTCTTGGTATGGATTTGAAAGTATGCACTAAAAACATAACAAAAATAACAAATATTCAAAAGAACTAAGCTTCGGCTATGAAATGTTGCATACTCCATGAAACTAATTTCTAAAAGAAACATAAAATTAATATTTGCAATCTATTTTAAAGAAGAAAAAGAATTTGTGTGGATGCAGATATTGGCATGTCACTCTCTCTAAAGTAAGAATTAGAACTACATACAGATTTGTACTTTTCCATTCACAATGTCATGGAATCTTAGTTATATTCAAACAAATAAAACAAGCAAACATAAAATAGCTATGCTTTACATGTAACCTAAATTCATGGCATATAATTCAATTATGAAGGGATGAAAAAAAAAAAGAACTGGGGAGAAGAATTCTAGTTTGTACTTCTGCAGTTGTACCAGTAGTTGGAAATTTTATCTTCCCAGTATTAGGATCCTTGTAAAGATGAACCAGAAAAACATTGCTCACCTCATGTCAATTTTAAGGACTAAACAAAGTACAATAACACGAAGATAATGAAACAATGTATTAAGGAGCTTACGTACCTCACCAATAGAATAGGAAGCATGAACTTTCTCAATGATTGCTCAACAGCTATTATAAAATTAGGTAAAATTACTTCAAGTATGTATTCTAAAAACAAAAAAACTCCTGAAAAAGAAAAGTTAGATTAGAAAAGTAATTGGGGTATCTAGATAAAGAGATAACGTGTTGGATGTGACTGCTAAGAAAGGGAGGGAGACGATGTATACCCAGGACAACAGATCACGAAAAAATGCAAGTGTTGTTCCTAAGCTGTGAAATTTTCATTAGGCTAATCAGAACTTTTCATATCATTCTTGCTTAGACACGTCACATTTAATTATCGTGAATTAGCCCATTAGGCATGTTTTGTGTGCTTAATTAATATTGCTTAATTCACTTATCTGAAAGCTTGTACGATAAGACTAGACAACTGATGTGCATAATTCAAGGTGAATTTTGGCTAGAAGTGACTACAAGGATATATAGATGACAATTAGTAAGTTGAGCAGACAAAAAACGAAGAGGGAAATGCACAATTAAAATGTAGATTTAGATTTAAGTGATTAAACAAAATACTTGCATGACTGCTAAAAATTGGTTAGACAGGTTGTTTAACCAACAAGGGGAGCATAAGTGTAAGACATGAAAGAAATGAGAGACAGAAAAAAATTCTACTGTTTCATTTTTTCCAAAATCTGTAGCAAACTTTCCGTCTCACAACTGAAGTTGTCTTGGAAGGGATTTAAGGAATAAAAAATGTCATATCAAAGGAAAATCGGAATAAAGATATGTTGTAGTGTGACCCAAATTCTATTGGAGTTGTATTCGAAGTGGTCCTGGGTAGATCAAATTAATGGACCGAGAAATTTGTTGCCGAATTTTCGCTAGTTTTTCGCCACCTACTCGCTCGAGCGAAACCGACAAATCTGGAATAAAGAATTGTCATCCGCTTCTCGCCCCCTATTGCTTGATGCTGCTTGAGCAATGATGCTTCTCGATTTTTCACATTTTAACGCATTTTGGATTTCTATTCATCTACAACTTGGTTTTCAGAGTTATATATATATAGCCAAAATCTGTAGCAAACTTTCCGTCTCACAACTGAAGTTGTCTTGGAAGGGATTTAAGGAATAAAAAATGTCATATCAAAGGAAAATCGGAATAAAGATATGTTGTAGTGTGACCCAAATTCTATTGGAGTTGTATTCGAAGTGGTCCTGGGTAGATCAAATTAATGGACCGAGAAATTTGTTGCCGAATTTTCGCTAGTTTTTCGCCACCTACTCGCTCGAGCGAAACCGACAAATCTGGAATAAAGAATTGTCATCCGCTTCTCGCCCCCTATTGCTTGATGCTGCTTGAGCAACGATGCTTCTCGATTTTTCACATTTTAACGCATTTTGGATTTCTATTCATCTACAACTTGGTTTTCAGAGTTATATATATATAGCAACTTTGTATGACAAAGAGCTTGACCAGCAAGTTACATTTGAAATAGCACTTATATTCTCACTGGTTGTCCGAAAGTGTGTCATTGGATGATCACTTAACCATATTCAAAGAAATCATGGTTGATTTGGACACACTGAAGGCTAAGTATGATGAGAAGGACTTGGCGTTGATGTTGTTGTGCTCTCTCTTGCCATCATGTGTGACTTTTGGAGATAATGTTCTATATAGTGGGGATACTTTCATTTTGGAAGAGGCCAAGATAAGGCATCTTGCTGGAAGGACCTAAGAATCAGGCGAAAGGCCATGGTGTTCGTGGAAGAAATCAAAACAAGAATTTTGGTAGGATTATGAGGGGCATATCAAAATTCAAACATACAGGAAATGTGTGTTAATACTATAAGAAGAAGGGACATATTAGGGCTTATTGCTATTCTTTGAAAAATATGAATAAGGTTACTAGTGCTATTGATAGAAGAAAGTAACCTATTAACTCAACAGAGGTTGATGTTGTGGAAAATGCGCAAACTAAAATAGAGCCTCTTGTGATATCTGACATGGATTCCAAATCTTGTGAGGAGTGGGTTTTTGAGTTGGCTTGTACTTTCATGTGTCCCAACAGAGACTGGTTTACAACATATGAAAAAAGTTTCGAGAGGTGTAGTAATATTGGGAAACAACGTGCCGTGTAAAAACGTTGGAGTTAGTATAGTCAGAATTAGAATGTTTGATGGTGTTCCATAATTTAAGTGAAATCTCATATCTTTAAGTTCACTTGACTCAAAAGGTCATAAGTATACTGGCGAAGGTGGAGTTTCGAAGGCGACAGAGCACTTTTGTTGTCATGACGTGACAGAATAACTCTGCAGAGCTGTACATTTTGCAGGGTTCCATAGTTACACGGGATGTAGTAGTCTCTACTTTTTATTTGACTGATGAAGAAGTTACTAAACTTTAGCATATGTGACTTGGGCATAGAGAGAGAATGACATGGCAAAATTGAGTAAAATAGGACAGAAGACCAATAAGATGAAATTCTATGAGCATTGTGCCTTTGGAAAATAGAAAAGAGTCAAATTCACTACAAGTAGACACAACACGAAGGAAGTACTTGAATATATCCATTCAGATCTCTAGGGGTCGGCTAGGGTACTTTCAAGAGGAGATGCTTATTACTTGTTGGCAATAATTGATGATTTCTCCCGAAATATTTGAGTATTCTTCTTAAAATAGAAGAGTTATATGTTTGGACCTTCAAAAAGTAGAAAACAATGATTGAAAAGCAGACTAAAAATTAGGTTAAACGTCTACGCACAGATACTAGTTTGGAGTTTTGTTCATATGAATTCAATAGCTTCTGGAGCTCTGAAGGAATCTTGACGCTTGACAGTGCCCAGAACTCCTCAACAAAATGGTGTGGCAGAAGGAATCAATAAAACCTTGATGGAAAAGGTTTGGTGTTTGCTTTTAAATTCTGGGTTGCCTAAGAATTTTTAGGCTAAAGCTGCGCTACAGCTTGTTTTCTGATCAATCGCTCATCCTCAACTGCCATTGGGAAAAAGACACCTGAAGAGGTATGGTCTGGTAAACCTTCATATTATACTGATTTGAAGATTTTTGTGTACCCTACTTATGCTCATCTATATAATAGGAAGTTGGAGCCTAGGTCTAGAAAGTGTGTCTTTCTTGGATACAAATCAAGTGTAAAGAGATATAAATTGTGGCGTTCTAAGATAAGAAAGGCAAAAATTAGTAGAGATGTAGTATTTCGTGGAAATTCTAATAATCTAGAAAAACAAAATCAATTAACTCAAATGGAGTTGAAAATTGGTTAAGGAAACAATCAAATGTTAAATAATAGTCCTATTTCAGAACAGACTAGTTTAGAATTGATAGATAGAAATACTTTGCCTACATTTCCAGCAGTACCACAATATTCTATTGCTAAGGATAGACCTCACAGACAGATTAAACCTCCACAAAAGAATGGGGAAGCAGTCTACATATACAGAGGCAATCAATTGTAGAAAGAGATGAAGTCATTAAATAAAAATTGTACTTGGGACTTGGTGAAATTAACAAAGGATAAAAGGGTTGTTTGCAGGAATTTGGTGTTCAAAAGGAAAGAATGGACATTAAGGACTGAAAATGCTAGGTATAAGGCTAGATTGATAATAAAGGGCTACTGTTAGATTCTAGGTGTTGACATCACAAATGTGTTCTTCCCAATTGTAAAACACAATTCAATTTGAAATTTACTTGGGATAGTGTCAAAGAATGACTTGGAACTTAAATAGACGGATGTCAAGACAGCATTTTTGGATGGAGAACTTGATGAGATCATCTACATACAACAACCAAAGGTTTTCATAATTTTTGGAAAGGAATACTATGTGTAATTGTTAAAGAAGTCCTTGTATAAATTAAAGTAGTCACCAAGGCAGTGGTACAAATGTTCGATTCATTCATGACTACTCATGGTTTCATCATAAATAATTATGATAGTTGTGAATACTTCAGAAAGGGAGATGATGGATCGATAACATTTGGACCATTTGAAGTAACCTTATTTTAACAATGTTGCTCACGGCTTGTTTCCTAGCTCTTTAGATGGCTTATAATGAACGGCCCACTTAATAATGCGTTTGAACACTTATTAGGCATCGTCCCATTATTACACCTTAATTGTATCTTATATATGCTGCCTCCCTTTGGCTATAACTGTGTATGTTATTTCTTTGTCTTCTCCTTTTAGTTAAAATAGACACTTGCTTCGTGCTCTCTTTACTATGCCTTTCTTATCAATTTTTTGGCCTTTGCGATTGAAATAACATCCCTATTGTGTGTTCCAAGACTAGAAAAAGAGGCAATAGAGGCGAAATTTTAGCAACGAACATATTTCATTGCTACTACCAACGGATTAATAAAAAATTAGCAATGGATTATTATTTTATCATTTTAAAAAATTATATATTAAATTACCAACAAAATTACCAGTAAAAGTCTTTCGTTGATAAAAGTATGTTGCTAATCCGTTGGTAAAATATAAAAATAAACAAATAAAATAATTCACTAATGAATTTTCCAACGGATGATTACGTTGAAAACTATATAAAGAATAAAATTATTGCCAATTAAAAATTTTGTTTGTAAAATTGTAAATTCCTACTTTTATTATCCCTACCCTCTTAAAAGAGGAAATTCTCCTCCACTGTTCATTTATGAAGTATTTTTCATTTCCCATTAGTTCTTGCACTAAGGACATAATAGCCTCTTGGTATGCTTATTGTATATCTTTTCCCTATGGCCAAAGTCGATGTGCTACCAAAAGCTTTCATTCTATCCACTTTCAGGAAAGGAAAACCCTCCATTAACGCAAATTTTACTTCTTTCTTCTCGATTGTTGAATGAAATTCAAAAAAATCTATTGGAATTGAGACATATACCTGTAATTATAATTCTAATGCATTCAATTTCTTCCTTCTGTAGATTTCTTCCAATTTTTTGAGCTATAATGCAAGAGCAGTAGCTTCGATTTCGAGTTTTATAGGGGTATGTGGTAGTGGATCTGTAGGTGATGATGATTGACGAAGGTCGCAGTGGAGGGAGCAATGGTAGGTGTTTTGGTGAGGGTGAGATGGTAGTACGTTGGGCTAGGTTCGGTAGGAAAGTATACATATTTTTGGCATGATGTTATCTACGAATTTCTATGTATTATTGTGAGGGTAAAGATGGTAGTATGGTTTTTGTCCTAATATATGAAGAGTTACAATATTATTATGCTTACAACTCACAATAACTATTTAGTTCCTTTTCATTTTTCATCTTTTCAGAACTCTATTTTTTTCATTAAGTATAAATTTTTGTCCTCTAAAATAGTTTTCCATTTCTTTTTCTCGAATTATCATTGAAATAAATTCTTATTCGTTGAATATTGAATCTGAATTTTTTTTTTTTGTGGATAATACACGAAAAGTAAAATAGAAGATTGGATATGTTAAGGTATATGTTCAAAGGTGAAATGTCCTCGCTGGTTCTCAGTCAAAGCTAATTTGATGCTCTATTTTGTCAAGCTTTTATAATCGACCTTCAGTTTATCCTATAACTTTATGTATAAATAGTTAAATTGCATATTTTGTTTTTCATTTGAGTGTAGAAAAAGGTGTTAACCATTGAGGAAAATGATAATTGTTTAGTCTGATGGAGAATTGGACATGTGATGTTTTCTATGCAATATTAGACAGGCTTTGATGGTATTATGATATCAAAATTTTAGTTCCCTTCTTCATAATATTGTCCAATGCAATCCATCATTCCTACCAAACATGCTACCATTTGTTATCAGCCTAAACATAAATTTCGGTGTAAAAAAACATATGCCATCAATTGCAAAGTGTACGTCATTTTCTTTTACTAATTTATTCATTTGCCTATCTATTTGTATTTTTTTGGAACTACCTTGCCAATCATTCGTCATCAACCTGAACATAAGTTCTGGCGTTAAAAAGAACTCACATTAGGTACCAACTACGAATTGTATACTATTTTGTTATACTAATTAGTTAATTTAGC